TCTAATTATTTTAAAACTACACTGACAGAAATGCCACAATCCCTGTAGGATAAAAATCGGAGACACTGGAGGCAGATGCTCAGCTACAAGCAACTGGTGTTGGTAACCAAAGCACAGTTAGCTTGTAGAATTCATGGCCAAAGGATGTGATGATAGGTATAGGAGTGAATGGCTTTTAGAAGCACAGATCTGAAGGAATACTAGCTGTGATAGGCAGAAGGATGACTTTCATGTTCAGAAATAGTACAGTTTCAATCAGTGACATGTTTGAGTTTTGGTCTACAACTTCCAGGATCCCCCAGAAAATATAGACTACAGCTTCCTGGAATTCTGTGAGGTATAGTCCAACAGCACAAATATGCACGTCTCTACTTTTGACAATCAACCAGTGAGAAGCAAGAAAGAATGAAGATGAATCAGATCTCAATGACAGAGCACACACTTTCCATGGATGTTCCCAAGTTTAGTTCTGGTATCTCCAGGTGGGAAAGTTCTCTCTGTGAAACCTGGAGGATTGCCACCCATCAGTGTTGAGAATATTGAGTTGGATTGACAGACCAATGGTTTGAGTCTGACTTCATATAAAAGAATTCCCTCCTTATGTATTGTGACATCAGGATCTGCTTGTGAACATCCCTGTGATATTTACCTGCTGGACAGCAACGGTCAGGCAGTAAACCAAGGAGAGAACTAGGAACCAACTTGCAAACATTCCATGGGTGGTAAAATGAGTACCCAACTCGTTAGGGGGCAAAGTGCTGTTTTGCATAACTAAATAGCCAAGAGAGTGCTCTAGCACTGTGGGGCAGTACATCAATACAAACCACCACTACTACTGTATCCCCAGCTTCATATGCTGTTGAGTTTGAAGATCTGTGTCAATGTTGCTTTGGCATATTGAAATGCATGTTACTTCCTAAGAACGATATTGCCTCAGTATAAATATAAATATAAGGAAGTGGCATGCACCAAAATCTGAGTCGACCTTCTGAATATATAGCAGTGGATAATCTTCAGCAGCCTTATCGTTACTAGGGATAATTAACTTAGAACCCAGAGCTTTGTTTGGATTAGTACAGCGGGAAGCAGCACATGGATCCAAGAAAGACAGGAAAAACTAGAAGAGGCATGGAAGGGGAACGAGGTGGGTAGATTTTGATTTAAAGCACAACTTTAATTTTTGGAAAAATCAGATTATCTTGATTTAAATCAACGATCAAAAGAAAACATTGATTTTTATCCACCCTCATCCTGAGAAAATTCCCTCTCTCCTTTTCTTCCTGTTAATCCCTTATTACTGTGCTATTCCTGCATTGGTGCTCCAGGTTCAGCTGAGTAAGATACTGAGAAGTGCCTTGAGGCCATTGCCTCTTTTACCTCTGGGTTTCTCACTCAACTATGCTGCTGCCACATACAAGGAAAAGACTGGTACAGTCTTCTGCACCACTGATGTATAGAATACTCAGAAATGACCAGGACAATAGCATGAAATGTGTTTTCATTTCTCAGCTGCACTCCTGGAGGAAGAAGGTTCTCTACGCCCTTCCTGAGATGGGAGGGAGATAGAAAGAGACAGACAGACAGAGACAGACAGACAAGGTTCCAATGCAAACGTTTTAGTGAAAGATTTATTTTAGAATCATATAATCAAGGAGTTGGAAGGGTCCTACAAGGCCATCAAGTCCAACACCCTGCTCTGTGCAGGAATCTAAATCAAAAGATATCTTCCAGGTGGTTGTCTAAGTTTCTCTTCAATGCCTCCAGTGCTGCAGAACTCACTACTTCTCAATGTAATTTGTTCCACTGTTTTACTGCTCTAACAGTTAGGATGTTTTTCCTGATATTCAATCAAAATCTGGCTTCCTGTAACTTGAGCCCATTGTTGCGTGTCCTGCACTCGGGGATGACTGAGAACTGATCTTGCCCCTCCTCAGTATGACAGCCTTTCAGATATTTGAAAAGTGCTATCATATCTCCCTTTAGTCTTCTTTTCTCAAGGCTAAACATTAGAGATGGGGACAAAGCCCCAAAATGGCACTTCATCTTGGTTCATGGGTTGTCAACATTGACAACCCACGAACTGCCCCTCAGTGACACAACAAAAAACGAATCAATTTGTCAAACTTGTCTGGTCCTCTTTTTTTTTTGCCCATAGGGCATAACAAGAGGAAGGGAAAGCAGGGATGGAAGCGATTGTACAGCTGCGCTGCAGGATTGCTTTGATTCCTTTCCCCCTCCTCTTGCTAAGACCTGTGGGAAATAGCAATAGGAGGGAAAGCAGGGATCAAAGCGATCCTGCAGCAGCTAGGGGATCCCTTGCCTCTTCTTATGCCATGTGGGCAAACGAAGAGGAGGAAAGGGGAACCAAGCCATTCCCCAGTCTCAGGGATGGGATTTCCTTTGGGCAAGCTTTAGCAAGCTGTCCAAAGAGAACCCCCATCTCTGCTTATGCCACCAAGGAACAGCTGATCCGCGAGGGCATAAGCAGATAGGGAATGAAAGGACGAATATAAAAGGGTTATATTTGTTGCTTCATATTCATTGGGATCTCTGGACCCTATGAATATGAAGCAACGAATATCTGATGAATCAGGGATATTTAATGAATATGCTGATTCATTTTTATATTCATCCCCATGTCTACTAAACATGCTCAATTCTTTCAGTCTTTCCTTATAAGGTTATATTTAACCTACCTTCCCGCAAATAGGCACCTGAGTTCCTACTCTCAACCCCAGAAATGTCAAACTCTGGGTTAAAACCAGTGATTGGCATGCTGCTGTAATAGACTGCTATTTCTACACCTTTGGGGCCCCAGGTTGTGCATATGCACAGGCGTACCCCTGCCATACACACAGTAAAATGTGGAAGAAAATGCAGCAAGCTAATGTTTTCTTTGCTCTGCATGCCCTTTACCCCAGAGCTTAATAAGAGGCCACTGAAACCCTGCCATAAGCAGTTAGTTTATAAAGCTGCATATCAGAGATTACAGCTTTGGACAGAAATTTATCTTGGCAAAATAATTGAAAAGGGAAGGGGGGTGGGCTGGCTGAAGTAAGAAAGGGTAGAGAAGCCTTCTAATCCATTCCTTTTGCACCAAGTTTTTTTTTAAAAGGGAGAAAAACCAATATATTTAAGTGGTTCCACAGTCGCAGTGCTTTAGCCACAAGGCATCACCCAACCTATGTGCAAGCTCCTCTGGCTCAGTGGGCAGGAAAGGGGGGGAAAGACATGCACCAGTGTGCCCACTCCAGCCTGTTTACCTTCACAACTGAAGTTAAAAACTCTCCACCTGCAATCCTGAGACAGGCAGCACTTCCTCCTCACACCACACTGTGCGTGCGCATTTTAATAACAGCCTGTCATATTCAGTTCTCAAAGCACAAAAGTGAGGGAAACAAGGCCCAGAGAGGAGGTCCAGCCTCCTCAAAGGAAATCACAATGGGAAATGGAAGTGCTGCTTGTGGCATTTCCCGCTCAGAGGGGAGCACCAAGCAAGTGAGTGGGATGTTTACCAAAAACATGGAGGGCAGAAAGAGACAAGGGGCGGGGAAAAAAGATTAATTCAGATCTCAAAATGTCTATTTGACAAAGACAGGGCTGCCTAAGAACACCATTTCTTCCTCATATCCTGAATTCAACTGCATATCAGTGGAAATTATACAGAGCAGCACAAGTATTTTATTTATTAGCTATATTTATATTCTGGGCTCACTGGAAGGACAGATCCTGAAGCTGAGGCTCCAATACTTTGGCCAACTCATGAGAAGAGAAGACTCCTTGGAAAAGACCTTGATGTTAGGAAAGTGTGACAGCAAGAGGAGAAGGAGACGACAGAGGATGAGATGGCTGGACAGTGTCTACGAAGCAACCAACATGAAATTGACACAACTACGGGAAGCAGTGGAAGACAGGAGGGCCTGGCGTGCTCTCGTCCATGGGGCCACGAAGAGTTGGACACGACTAAACGAAATGAAACGATATTCTGGAATTGCTTTCATAAGCCCAAGATCTTCTGGAAGCATCACCTGTCTAAAGCCCTTTGAGGAAGGACAGGCTGAGACACATAGACTGGTCAGGGACATCCAGTGATTTTCATGATGGGCTCCAGAACAGCTGGTTGAGAAAGTCTGCCTTACTGATTCCTTTCCTAGGTTGCACTGCAATGAGCTCTTTCTCTTACCACAACAGGGATAACGATTAGCATATTTACACATGCTTTAAAAGCATGTCTTGGGGATTATAAATATGAGCCAGCTTTATGACAACCACTCCTGTAAGGAGTCTGAGAAAACACGGAGAGTTTCTGTTTCTGTTCCAGCTCCACTCTTGCCCATTTGATTATCACAACAACCCTGCGAGGTAAGCAAGGCTAAAAGACAGTGATCAGCCCAACCCACAGAATTTCATGGGCCAAAGGGAGCTTGTATCTGGACCTCAGAAGTCCCATAAGAAGTGCACCATGCTCGGTCTCTTTTTCTACCAGCTGCTGCTTATAAACCAGGAAATCCATTCCAACAGGCACTCAGCAGAAAATTTTGGGTTTCCTCTTCCCACCTAGAAAAGAGCTTGATATCTCTATTACAAGGGTATGACTTAGGAAGGGCAGGAGCTACACATGTGATGCAATCTAGGAGGACCATGACTGGGGCATCCATTTCTAACTCCTCTCCATTCTTCTTTTGATCACTGGGCAAAAGTACATCTTTTCCATACCCTTTGATGGGGGTGGAGGATCTTTTGCTTCCATCCTCCTAATTTGACTGAAGATACTTTCCTTTGTAGGCAGTATGATGGCAAACCACTACAGGTGTACTCCAAAGTGCTACAAATCACTATTTATAAAGCATCTCCCAGTATAAAATACTGACATTAAATGTTGCCAAATACAACCCACAAGCAACAGAAGAAGTACTAGACCACTGATTCCCATTTAGAACAATACTCATGACTGGCAGCAGCTCTCTGGGGTTTATGCATGATTCTTTTCTTTGTCCTACCTGGAGATTTTTGGCATTCCCCAGTGGTCTCCCATCCAAGTACTGATCAGCCTCAAATTTGCTTAGTTTCTGAAATCAGGAAAAGATCATGTTTAGAATGGCATAGTGGTGGGTCAGCTGGAAGAGCTAAATTAAACCAAGTGTTCTGCAGTACCCTCTCCCGAGCCCAGTGTCTAAACCCTAATATTAACTTTGCAGGAACCACAGAAAATACTCCTGCAGCATTGTTCAGATAGGGAAGCTACAAATAATTCACACAGACTTTTTTCACGTTCCCTCCTCCCTGTCCCATCAGAAACAATAGTACCACCTGGCTAATCTGTTTCCCACTGTACTCATTGCACCTCAGACCCATCACCACCCTCTGTTGCCATCAAAAGCAAAAGCATGAAAAGGAAGGAACAAAGGCAGCTAGGAAACAGATCAAATTAAAATTCCCAGCCTCCCACATGGCGCTGACTCCTACACACCTCCCTGCCAGCCATAAGCTCCTTTGACAAGCTGCAACTTGAGAGGCGGTAACGGGAAGGGTGAGCTGTTACCATAGGAAGCACACTTAAGTGCACCATTCGCTCCCTCTCAGAACATTTATTGGTGGTGATGGAAAACTGGAAAAAGCAACAGTGCAATGCTCCACCCAGCATGGGCTCTTTTGCCAATGCCTCCTCTAGTCGGCAACTGCTTCTGCCATATGAACCTTTGGAGTCAGAAGTATGATGCATACTAAGTTATTGATGCTTCAGTTAGTGTTCTCGTGCTGGCTCCATGTAGGCATGTATGTAATCACCTAAGTAGGAAGAGCTAATGTCGAATACAGCCTGAGAACATCTATTCACTTTGGAAAGCAAGGATGAGCAATTATTCTGCTTATAAATGCTGCGTCTGTGTAGCATTTATCGTCTGTTCACTACAGTATAAAAATGTGAAGCCACCACACTGCATCTCACACAACATTCCAGCTTTATTCTAGAAATCTGTTTGTGTTGAGGCTTCTGCATTGTGAGGTTTGAAATGCATGTATATGCATGTGTTTGTAGGGATGTGGTTTTTACATATTTCTTTCTCAATGAACAAAAGGCAACACACACTACAGTGGTGCCCCACGTGACGATTACCTCGTTAGACGAGGAAATCGCTTTATGATGAAGTTTTTACGATCACTTTTGCAATCGCAAAACAATGTTTAGATAGGGAAAAATGCTTTACGATGATCGGTTCCCTGCTTTGGGAACCGATTTTTCGCTTAACGACGATCTTTACAGTCTTCAAAATGCCAGCCTACTGTGCCAAATGGCTTCCTGCTGTGTTTTAGGACAGATTCCTCACATTACAGGCACCGGAAAATGGCCGCCCTATGGAGGATCTTTGCTGGATGCTGAGGTATTTCGCCCACTGGAATGCATTGAACCAGTTTTCAATGCATTTCAATGCGCTTTTTCATTTTGGTTGACGAGGATTTCATTCTACAGCGATTTTGCTGGAACGGATTATCCTCGTCAAGCGAGGCACCACTGTACTCTCTTCTTTCCCACTTTACCTATTTATACAACAATCCAGCAAGGTAGACCACATTGATAAAAATGATGTACAGTCATGGCCAAAAATATTGGCACCCTTGCAATTCTGTCAGAAAATGCAACCTTTCTCTCAGAAAATTGTTGCAGTTGCAAATGTTTTGGTACTCACATATTCATTTCTTTGGTTTGCTTTGGAACAACACAAAAAAGCAGAGAAGAAAAGTCAAATTAGGCACTTGCAGGCAATGGGGCAAGACATCTGGTGTCTATGGGAGGGAATTCGCCTGAATTATTTTATTTCTATCAGGATGGATAGATACAGGAGGCACTGCTTCCATGCAGGATGTAATCACATGGAAGGGCATGTATCAAAAACAAACAAGTCTGGTCAACTAGCTGAAAACCTGTCAGCAGATTCCCAACCCCTTCCTGTCAAGCTGCTAGACAGCCGAGATCAATGAAGCTACCACTGAAGAGACCACTGCTTCCCAACAGACTTATCATTCTGGAACCTTGCCTGGACTCACTGGCTGTGCTTCCACAGCTCTCCCTCGACCCCAGAGACTAAAAATTATTCAGTCACTGATGCCAATCTGACTCAGCAATGCAAACATAACTGTTAGCTCACTAATTAAATTTTGCCATAGCTAAAGTCTGAAACCACTTCCCACATATTATTGGCTCCATGCAAACAACCAAAGCAGCACTCAGCTCTTTCTCTAAATGACCTGCCTCTCTTTCAACAAGAGGAAAGACCAGGCAAAATGTCCTCCTGGATTTTTCCTCTAGACCAGCAATTCTGCAATGGTTGCTCCTCTCCTAACAAAAACCAAGCCTGCAATTTCCAAAGAAGAAACAACAGGGAGAAGGCTGCAGGTTCACTATAGTGAAAGGAGAAAACAAAAATAGAAATGGATATTGGCAGCAAAGGCTAAAAAGCCAGCAATCCAAAGCTTAGAATCCCCCAAACAGTGTCTGACTTGGGGAGGAAAAAACAACAACAGATAAGCAATTATTTCAGATCAGATACCTCAGAGATGTGTTGAATTCTTATTTAGATGACAAAGTCTTCCATACTTTTTCTGTACTTTTATTATTATTATTATTATTATTATTATTATTA